CACCCATTTTTACCAGGGACAACAGGAGAGGCCAGGTTAAGATCTTCGTTAATAATGACTTTATTGAAAATATTGTAAACAGTGCAATCCAACTTCAACCCTAGAGTTTGAAAGTGTCCGAAGAAAATTATGAAAAAAAATATTTTGGAGTCAAATAATATTTAAGAACAAAATATCAATGTTAAACTTAGTATTAAAACTTAAAAATTGTTTAAAAAAAATTAAAATTTATATGTATAATATATATATATATATATATATATATATATATATATTAAGTTGTGTTAGTAAAAGAAAAATCGATACCAGGATCGAAAGAACCAAAGAGAGAAAATCGAAAATCATATAGTTGGTTAAAAAATTGATAAGACTGGTAAAAAACACTTGGTGACCACAAAGGTAAAAACACATCGAAAATAAAATCGAGAATCGAAGAAACAAATTTCGATGTCCATTGTTGAAGAGAATCGAGAAATTAGAATAGTGCAAAGTTAAGAATTAAAGGGAATAAAAAACAATTCAAAACACTCGATGTCTGAAATCGAGATCGAGGGAACGGTTAACACACACATGGAACATGGGAAACGGTTCCTAAACCGTGGCTCAGATCAAAGATCAAGGGAGCAGTTCTCTTATGCGTGAGAACGTGGAATGCAGTTTTTAAAACTGTAAAGACTAAGGTTCGTGCACGTAGGATCGTGGTGACAATTTTATTAACCACTCTTAGGAGGTTACTTGAAGGATGCTCTATAAATAGAACGAAGACTTGAAAAAGAGGGGGAAATTGGCAGAGATAATAGAAACATAAGTGAAAAAGTCTACCGGAGAACGACCAATCATGAAGTTTCTGGCGATCTGGGTTTCCATTTTCATTGATTATCTGTATCGCTTTCTTTACTTTCCCTGGTAATTTATGTTCATGCAATTTAATTTAATGCAAGTTTACATTCAGCAACTTTAAGTTTCTGCACTTTTAATTCCATGTTATTTTACTTTTATGGAAGTTGAGATTCTGCGTTTAAAGTGTTTCGCTATTTACACTTATGCAATTTCGATTTTCTGTTATTTACATTCCTGCAATTCCGATTTCTCGCTATTTATACTTAATGCAAATTTGAGGTTTCCGTTTTTTTTTTTACATTTCCCTGCAATTTAATATTCTCGCACTACTTTTCGATTTCAATGCTTCTTTTTCTTCGCATTTCTTAAGAAAACATCAAAAATATGTAATCTAGGTCATGCCGTTTTACATTATAAGATTCTTGATTCTCATGCGCTTTTCGATTAAAAATTAGTTGCTAGCCTAAGTAAAAAGAATCTACATGGTCGAGATTTGATTAGGACCCAACTCCCCATAAATCGAAATCAATCAAATTTTTCACCGTAAACAAGTTTTTGATATTTTTCGTTGGAATCTCTATTATATTAATATAAATAAATTGAAGAAATTCATGTCCGATATTTTTACTTTAAAGACTGATGACTTCACACTTTTAAACATCTTATATGATTTTCAAAGATAAGAATAAATTACATAATTAAATCATGATTTTACCATTTTTAAGTTCTATTACGTCTTTATATTAAACATTAAAAATAATCATTGTACCATCAATACAATTTTAAATATAAGCATGTTTATACGTACGAGATAGATCAATATGATATAGTAAAATTAAATTATTAATTGAATGTTTTTTTTGAAGTTAAAGTATGTGTAAGTATCAGGTGTAAGAAACTTCAAAATTTTAACTTTTCTGAATTTGAACATCTTCAAAGACGATGAATGCCTTTAGCTAACCAATATATCCTCTAAATAGAGTACATTCTATTCTAAAATTATTAAAAAAATGTTATAAATATTTAGGTTTAAAAAAATAATGATTAGTCTATCAATTTGTAAATATTATCAATCGGTATTTAATCAAATAATATATAACTTTTTTTTTACATTCTTTTTTCTCTTTGTGTCCTATCATCCTATGTAAGTACTTTCATTACATTTATTAAATAAAATACATTGTTATTGTATAATAATAGAAATTAGTAAATCATATTAAATAATAGTAAAATTCATGTTAGTTCTATTTACCAACTAAGTAGTTAATATATATTATTAATAGAGGAATATTTTTATTTTTATTTTTATATATAACATTGAAATCCATTAAAGCTTCTTTGTTTTAAGTTAAAAGTTAATTTTGTATATATATATATATATATATATATATATATATATATATATATATATATATATATATATATATATATATTACGTGGTTAGGTAAGTATCACATTTTGAACTACCACTCAAACTTTAAAAAAAGTAGATAAAACCCTCGCAATTTTCTTTTAAAACTTATATACTAGTGTTTAAAGCTAGTGTTAAAAAAAAGAATTTAAATTGAAAATGAAACTAATAGGTGGATGATAATAATTATGAAAAAAAAGGGAACAAGGTGAAGGCAATATATTGTGATTTGCTTTTTTAATTTATTTTAGAAGTAAGTGAATTCAATCATAAACAAGAACTTATATATATATATATATATATATGTATATATATATATATATATATATATATATATATATGTATATATATATATATATATATGTATATATGTATATATATATATATGTATATATATATATATATGTATATATATATATATATATGTATATATATATATATATGTATATATATATATATGTATATATATATATATATATGTATATATATATATATGTATATATATATATATATAATTTTGAAATTAAAAAAAAAAAAAGACAAATTCAAATTTCAAATTTGAAAATCAGCTTTTTCGTGTAAGATAATGTAAAGGTTGTAACAATTCATATATTAGGATATACATCTTATCATAGATAGCTTATTATCAAAACAACTTGTTACGTCATTTTTGTTTAAAACATTGTCCTTTCCTTTGTGATGCACGGAACAATACTCACAAAAACATATATGACCTTTGAAACATTTAAAAATATTAGGTATTAGAAGAAAACTATTTTAGAAAATGACATTGATATTTTGACACCGATACAACCATTCAATATCCAATATATTTATATAATTATATATTATTATTTTATTAATATAAATAATTGTCATTAATATGTTTGAGTTGTGAATTCAATATTTTTCTTAAAAAAAACTCTTCAAATTTTGACTAACCATACTTCTCTATTTAATAACTCAGTATACTGGTATAATAATACATATTATGTTAAATAAGTCCAATATTACATCATAAAAACCCTAAACCCTAATATTGGAAGCACAATTGAAAAGAATTGGGAGAAGACAATAATAAGACAAAATTTCTTAAATTTTCATTTGAATGTCACCCTTATTCATGCTATGGCCTTTCCTTTTTTATGAACGCACCACGATAGACCACATACCAATCCTGAGACAACTAAAAATGTGGGTAAAGAAACCCCAAAAAAAAAACATGGCAGTAGTGAAAACATGACCCAAATGGGTAAAAGACAAATACTTAGGGAAAAAGTTTAAATTTTTTTTATAAGAAAATGGATTTCAACCTCTGTAAATGTACATAAGGTCGAAGCTTCGTGTTAAGAGTTGAAAAAAATGCGATTTTTATAGAACATTGAAACGTTTTATTAGTCAGGAACAATTTTCTGAGGTTTGTTTTAATTCAAGAAATGTAAGTTGGACAATTCTTCTTTTTTTAAAAACAAAAATTCCCAATGGGCTGAAATTCTCACCTATTTGATGATGGCATGATGGACCGCCCCATTAAAAGCAAAAATCGAATTGTCTTTTACCTGCATGTTAGGTATAACTCTTTATTAGTGAAATTTAATGTTTATACTTAATATAGCATAATGTTTATGATTTTGAATATTTAAGGATAGTGGTTTATCAATAAATAATTATCCAAAGTAGGAGCGTACGAGATCGAAATAAAGATATTCAATAGATAAAAACTGAAGTTAAAGATATTCAAAACATGAGATCAAATCGAACTAAAGTTCTTAAACTGTGAGACGCCATAGATGTTCGAAATTTAAAGTCGAGTTAAATATGCTTTAAACACCAAGGCGACACTAAATATGTTAAAAAACACGAGATGGAGTTGCAAAATACTGTAGACATAAAATTGAATTAAAAATGTTCTAAGCGAGCGAACTAGAGAGGTTATACAAATGTGAGATTGGACTAAAATGATGGGAGCTTGAAGAGAAACTAAAAATGTTTAAAACACGAGATGGAAACTCACATCATAAAGCCGTGTTCTAGAAGCAATGTCCAAATGCCTTTTGTCTATTATAAGGAAAATCTGTTATTAACCCATTAATTAACCAAACATATTTTGTAGTTGATTTCACGTGACACTCCTGGATAACCAAACACAATTCAATGTGACATGGTATAATTCTTAAAAGCATTTCGCTTGTAGCAAATATCCGCCTCCTTGAAGGTGTGGGAGTGGGATTGATATGGTGATGCAACCAAATAACCAATTCCTCCTCAACCACGTGTGGTTGTCGAATTCCTCCTCTGATATTAGGTAATGTCATGATCGGTGAACCCTCAGCACATAATGTATGTAGTTGGACAAAAAGAACAAATAAAGATCAAAGGCGGCGATGAAAGAAAGAAAAATAGGTAAAAGTAACTTTCAACAATGCAGCACTATACTATAAAGCCCCAAAAGAGGTCCAAATACACACGCATAATTGATAATTCCTCACAAACTAGACAGAATCATCCTACCTTACATGCATATCGAATCATCATCCACAACGTTTTATCCACGGCACAGGCAAATGAATCAGGCGACACAGAGTACTCACAACGCAACCAGTCAAAAAAAGATCAAAGTACAATTTTAAACAATAAAACAGATCTTATGATCATGCCTTAAAAACTAAAGTTCCTAGACAAGAAGATAAAAAATGGAACTAACAAGGAGAAATGGTGTGAACCGAGAATGAGACATCATATGTAATATTTATTCAAGCACTATGGCTGGTGTGGAATTCTGTGGGGAATTCCAGAAGATGTCTTTAAGCGCAGGACGAAGCTGTTTGCTGCAGAACTGGTTGTACTCCAAGGTATCCCCATTGTCCTTCTTCACTTCCACCACCATAAACGACGGCGTCACCGCATAAATATCCGCCGCAATAGCCAACTTCCCTTTCCTCCCACGCTCCTGTCCCTGAAGCCTCACCTTGGTCTCGCTACTCTTCACGTCGAACTTCCCCGCCTTCGCCACCTCCTCCAGCCGCGATATCACGCTGCTCGGCGTCCCAGCCGTCGCGAACCTCATCTCCTCCCTCTTCTTCTCCTCAAACAACGGTGACAAATTGAACCCCTCCGACAACGAGATTATGTGAAACGCGTTCATCGTAGCAGGCGTCTCACACTTCTCCTCCAAATCCACCTCCAAATCCACCTCCGCCACCTTCCACGGCACCGGCTTTTTAAACCAAGAAGACTCCATCACTTTACAAATACTAATCCGGGTATTCGGGTTCGGGTCGAGGAGTCTGGTAACAAGCCTTCGCGCCTCCACAGAAAACCAAGGTGGACACTTGAAGTCCCCTCGGTAAATTTTTTTATACATGGCAACCAAATTATCATCCTGAAAGGGTAAAAACCCTGCGAGGAGGACATAGAGGATGACCCCACATGACCATATATCAGCCTTGGCACCGTCGTACCCCTTTTTCGCTATGACCTCCGGCGACACGTACGCGGGCGTGCCGCACGTGGTGTGTAGCAGCCCATCCTCCTTGAGGTGGTCGGAGAAGGCGGTAAGTCCAAAGTCGGAGACCTTGAGGTTCCCATGTTCGTCGAGGAGGAGGTTCTCCGGCTTGAGGTCGCGGTGGTAGACGCCGCGGCTATGGCAGAAGTCCACGGCGGAGATCAACTGCTGGAAGTAGAGTCTGGCGACGTCCTCCTTCAATCGACCTTTGGAGACCTTGTTGAAAAGCTCCCCTCCACGCACCAACTCCATGGCGATGTAGATCTTGGACTTGCTGGCCATGACTTCGTGGAGCTCTACGATGTTTGGGTGCTTCACCATCTTCATCACCGAGATCTCCCTCTTAACCTGATCCATCATCCCCACCTTTATCACCTTCTCCTTCCCCACCACCTTCATCGCCACATGCTGCCCCGTCTTCAGGTTCCGCGCATGGTACACTTTCGCAAAAGTTCCATGCCCCAACACCCTCCCCAGTTCGTACTTCCCGTGCAGCAACGTCGTTCCTTCACTCATTCCTTTCTCTTTCTCCTTCTCACTCATCCTTGCTCAATCAACACTATAACCAATAATAATACTTATTATTACACCATACAACACACAAATTAGGGTTTGATTGGTTTTGGAATTGGGAATGAAAGATAGAGTGAATTAGGCGAGAAATCAATTAGTAACTACCCGTCTTCAACGTGCTTCCGATGGCAATGTCTACCGGAGGTTCTGCGTTTGGCAGGGTCACCTGCCTCAGATGGAGTAAACCAATGAATTCTCATTTCTCTGCATTCCCTTCTCTGCAATTGCCAACAAAAATACCAAAAATAAAAATCCCTAACTCAATCACTCACTCAATAATTGTTTCCTCACCTCTCACATAGGCTCAACAAGGTTTTGGTTCCTCTTCAATTTATAGCTGAGATAATTAATCTGACGGTGGACAAGATGAACACGTGTATGGTCCATCCTGGCACTCCATCATGGACTTGTCTTTTCCATATTGCCGACTCAATCAAACCAAGCCACACCACACCAAATACCACTGTTTAAGCAAATGCAGTTGGGTCTTCTATTTTTATTCTATTATTTTAACGCTAAGAAAGCAGATAAATGTATCTAATAAATTAAATGAGTACATTATTTTTTTTTTACAGTAATTATTAATCTTATTAATGGTGAATGGATTTGTTTTATAATTATTTATTAAGTGTTCAAAGGAAAGATGAGACAAAAATGCTTGTAGGGTATGGTCGGGTGGGCTTCTTCAATCATGGTAGGGGTGGGTCTGCTCCGTGGTTATAACTAACTTCCCGAGTTAGGATTTGGCTTAATCAATGTTTAGAGTTTAATTTTGAACAGTCACGGAAGAGCTGTGACCTCCACCAAAAACAAACAATCAACGACTTGGTCCAGTGTAATATTTCTTTTGTACAAAATAAATTAGTTTAATTAATATAATTTCATAAAAAATAATTTGTCACAATGAGTGATAGGAGTGTATTTCTTAAAATAAAATAGATAAAAAAAATCATATCTAATATCGGTGTTCAGAATGCAGTTTAGTTAGATTTTCGGTAAAAATAACTTTACTCAAACAAAAAATTTAGATCAACTTTATTTTGTTTTATTTTAATTTTAAAAAAATATAATATAAATTAAATTAATATTTAAAATTTGATTTTGATAATTTCTTTATTATACTAAAATAATTATTTAATAAACAATTATATCATAAATTCAGTTTTTTTATAAATGTTCACATTTAATTCAAAAATAATATATATTAAAAATTATAATAAATTAATTAAGTTACTTAAAAAATATCATTTTATATTTTAATTTTAATTATATATATATATATATATATATATATATATATATATATATAAATAAGATTATCAAACTTGAGAGTTTACGTATACTCGTGGAAGATCTGTCAATTCGACTTGTAAAAGTTTTTTTCATATAAAAAATACCAATTTAACAACAAAATATGATAATATAAATTCCATATTACTAAAATAAATAAGTTCATACAATAATACATTGATAAAATAACAAAAAATAAGTTTCAGACATTTTTAATTTCAATATTTATATCTAAAATAGCAAATTGATTTTGTTCAGCAAAATAAGCAGAATTAAAAAAATAATTAATTTTTTTTTCTAAATCCCTGAAATTTCTAAATTTATTTGAAACCCTTAAAATCTCAAATCCCTCCATCTAACTTAAGAGAGGGGTGGCTGGTGGCTAATCTGCGAGAGGGGGTGACTGGAAGCTAACCTACGAGAGGGGAACTGCCTAGTAGCTAACCTGCAAGAGGGCTAACGAGAAAGTTGGCCAAAGAGTAGGCTCGGGGTGAGACACGCAACCACTGAGAGAGATGTGTGATGCAACTACCACTACCACGTAACAAGAGAAAATAGATGGGCGACTAGAGGGAAGAGAACAAGGGAGCACTTTGATGCAACAATCGGTGACGATAACCAACAGTGAACAGTGAAAAAGGAAGAGGAATGCGAGATCTAAACTTGTGATAAGAAATGAGGAGTGCGGGAGAAGATTTAAGTGTCTCTTTCAAACTCAGTGATTCGTCTCTAACTCGCGAGTTTACTCAGAGTCCTTCGAGTTTGACCCTAAATCTACTATAAAACGAGTTTACTCACGAGTTAACTCATCATTGGTCGCATGACTCGTTAACTCGTCTGAGTCATCAAGTTGACTCGCGAGTTTGATAACCATAAATATATATATATATATATATATATATATATATATATATTAATTTCAATTTGATTTAATTAAAAATCAAATTAATTGATTTAAAAAAATGAATATAAATTATTTAAAATATATATGTTAACTTTTATTTTTTATTAAAATTTAATTGAATATATTTAATTATGTGATGACTCGCCTTAATATTTATCAATTAAAATTATTAAATAATAAAACATTAATATGTTAAAAATAATCTTATATCATATAAAAATAAAATACAGAACATATAAATTTATTTTTTTATAAATTAAATTATGTACAAATTAAAAAAATTAATGAAATTGTATAAAATAACTTGCCAATATTAATTCATAAATACTGAGAATTTGGATAACAATAGCATAAATTTATATATAAAAATTGTTTTCTTCATAATATACTAAATACTAATTCAGATTTAAAGTATAATTAATAATTATGACAATGTTATAGTATATATTTGCATTCTTAAATGTCATAAATATTTAATTTATGATTTATCTTTCATATTTTCATGCTAGTGGTTAAAAACTGGTTCAAAATATCCTTGATATATATAGTAATTTATTAATCTAAATATATTTTAAGTAATTTGATTAATTAATTTATTTATGAATATTAAACGGGGTTACATTTTTATTGTTTTCATATTTAATTTCTATATATAATATCTATATATATATATATATATATATATATATATAAAGTATTTATAGTTAATTTTATACCTTATTATAGTTTCAAAATGTGAATCAAAATGAAATATAATAATTTTGTATTGATTATTATAACTATTAATTAAATATAGTCTACATGAATGGTAATATCTAACAAATAACATAAAATGATTAAGAGTATTTTAAGAAAATAAAATTAAAAAATAATAATAAGTAAGGAGGATCATAATAGATACCTTTTATTTTATTTTATTTTATTTTACTACCATCAAACTATTTCATTTTGTAATACATTATTATAGGTGTGCTGATCATATAATTGCATCAAATTATGGTATGCATGTGGGTATTCCTTATAATTGATTAATTTATATGCATTATTATATCATTTATTTAGCTTGTCTTTTATTTGATAAAGTCATTTAGGTTATCTATTTGTAGGAATCTTTGATGGCCATTTCATAATCAGAGCTTGCTGCTTTAATTTTTCAAACAATATAATCAAAAGGCAGAAAATTAATGATATATATAATATTTTATTTCTTTTTATTTTTCTTCTTCAAACAATTAAAACATTATTTCGCATATTTTTTTAAAAATTTATTTTAAAAGAGTGTAAGTGACTTTGAATAAAATGAGTTGGACATTATAACTTTCTAACATATTTTTTATTCTTTTGGATCAAAAATTAAAATTTATTGTCTATTCGTAAATAAGTGTTTTATATAAAAAAAAAAATCAAATTAGTACTCTCATATTGTGGTCGAGTATCATACACACACCTTATAGATTAAAAAATATATATTTAATGTTCATAATATGTGAAAATCCATTGAACTAATAATGATTATAAATGTTCCTTTTACAAGATTTGATTTATATGTTACTAGATAAATCAGAATGATTGTACTTGAGTTAGTATTTATTATGGTTTTTGCTTATCAGTAGTTTAGATAAATTTTAAGTATAGTGTTTTTCTTATAATTTGTTATTTGTTTACGTTATTTTAATTGTAATTACTAGATAAAAATACTATTATTCTGAGACAAATTAAAATAAAGGAGTATTTAACTTAATTAATATTTTTATGAACTCAAACTATCAATAAGTGGGTGAGAAAACTACATTAAAAAATCACAATTTATTTACATTACTACAAAATATGCTTTTAACGTCGTCATTTAATGTCGGTTAAAGCTGAGCCGACGTTAAATACACTTTCAACGTCGGTTGGTTAAAAAATGACGTTGAAAGTTGAATGTTGGACACATTCTATGTCGGTTTTTAGTCAACCGACGTAGAAAGTACTTTCCACGTCAGTTCCAAATAAGCTGCTTGTGAACTTGTTTGGCTCAAGCAATTACTTAGAGAGTTACAATTTGAAGATGTCACTCAAATGTCACTTGTGTGTGACAATCAGACTGCTCTTCATATTAGTTCTAATCCTGTCTTTCATGAGAGGACCAAACATATTGAGATTGACTGTCATTTCATTCGAGAAAAGATTATGTCATCAAGACCGAGTTTGTTAACTCAAGTGATCAGTTAGCAGATATTTTTACCAAATCTTTACAGGATCCTAGAATTAATTATATTTGTAGGCACATACGATTTGTATGCTCGAGCTTGAGGGGTACGATTTGTATGCTCCATTAATCTCAAACTCTATTCTGTGTTTTTAGTCAACATAAGTTAAATGTTGGACACATTCTACATCGGTTTTTAGTCAACCGAAAAGTACTTTCCACGTCGATTCATGACGTTGAAAGTTTTTTTTATTGACACATTCCACGTCGGTTCCTAAATGAACCGACGTTAAATGTGTTTTCACCCAAAAAATTTCTTAAGCTAATTGTCATTGACATGATTCAAACCCAGTGTTTTGGAATTGAAAGTTGATACTTCAATCACTAAACTACTATAATTTTCTCGATAATATCTTACAAATTAATTATATTTATATACAAATAAATATATATCCGTGTAAATATATATTTATTTATATATATTTTCTCGGAAAGTGTTTTTATTTTTTTCAGTCAAAAATTCACTTAAGTTAGAGAATTGTCACCGATAGGATTTGAATCTAGTATTTTAGAGTTGAAAATTGATACTCCAACCACTAAATTACAATAATTTTTTGATAATAATTTACAAATAAATTATATTTATATACAAATAAATATATATCGATGTAAATATATAAATATATTTATATATATTTATATAGTTATATATTTATATGTTGGATGTGAGGGCGCGTTCGAGGGTGAAAGTGAGATTAACTCTCGCTTGAGTGAAAATACGTTAAAGCTCACGGAAATTCACTCGCTCAAGTCTCGCTTGAACGAAAATTGGTATTTTTCGCTTGAGCGAATATGTCACTTGAGCGAATGATGCGTTTCCCAAAATTATTTTATATCATTATATAAATAAATTATAAATATTATATTCTCGTCATTAAATTACAAACTCATATAAAGAGACCCGCTCACAAATTTGACATCGATTTTGAAAACTCACTCGACACACACTTTCACCTTCGAGCGTGTCCTTACATCCAACATATAAATATATAAATATATAATTATATAAATATATAAAAATATATAAATATATTTGTATTTATATATTTACACAGATATATATTTATTTATATATAAATATAATTTATTTGTAAGTTACTATCAAAAGATTTGAGTAGTTTAGTGGTTGGAATATCAACCTCTAACACTAAGGTACTTGAGTTCCAATCTTATCGGTGACAAAAAGTTAATTTGATAATGTTTTAAACTAAAAAAAATATGATAAATAATAAAAATATAATATAAAAAAAAATTAGACTTTCAACGTCGATTAACTAACGTTAAAAAATCTTATTTGTAATAGTGTTAGTTACATTCATCTTAACTATTATTTATTTATTTTTATTTTTGCATCTTTATTTTATACCACGATTCTGATCGACAAAGTTAAGGAAAAAAAAACAGAATATATTAAATAACAAAGTATGCTTGAGTTTGATTATTCATTTAAAATAACCTATTTAAAATCATAAATTTTCACAACACTTCCAAATTGTAAAAATGTAACACTAAAATAAAGTCATATGTGGAAAAATAAGTCTACTTCTTCATAAGTTAAATTAACTTATATAAAATTTTAAAAATATCATAATTTTTTAACATTTTACTTAAAACTTGTGAACAATATAATGGTTAACTACGAATTTTTTGAAACTATATAATAAATAAATAAATAAATAGTTATATTACGTTTTTCATTCTTTTCAAATATAATAGTGTACCAATAATTTATTTATTTATTTATTTAGGTTTCTTAATATATTAAAAATTATGTCTGATAATTGTGTAATATCTGTATTTTCTTTAAATAATTTAAAAAAAGTAAAGAAACTCCAAAAATTTTTAGAACGTCTTTAACAGAACTGGTTCACATTAGGGGTTTCGAATCAGATATTAACCTGTGGTTCATATACTTAATTTTATTGTTCCAAATGCTTTTTTGTTATTTATTTTTTATAAAAAATAAATCAATACTATGAATAAATTCCAATTAAAATTTTCTTTAAAAAAAATCTTTAACTTCATAAAGATAAAAGTATTCGGTGTTGGAAATTATATGTTGTAGAATCGAAATTAATTTAAAATAAGAATGTAATTTTATAATAAATAAACAAAAATTGAAGCAAACATAAATAAAATGGTAATATACCCAAATATGTTTGGTTTATCAGATTTTGGAAATGGCAGAGCCAGATGCTGCAGCACGCATGTAATCCAACAGTGCCACTTGTACTTTTTGTCATTTATGTTCAGTTTATTTCACTTTAAAATCAACAATGATTTTGTGTTTGAAATAAATTATTTTATTAAAAAACAGATAAAATTAAATTTTGCCTTATTTTTAAATTATACAAGTTAAAAGAACTCATAACAACATATGCAATACACACTCTTTTAAGAACAAACAAATAAATAGGCTCAATATCATATACAAATAATTTAGGTATAAGATTAAAGTTTTTTTTCAATAAAATAAAAATAGATGAAAATCTATTTGATTATAGCGAATATAATAATATGAATGAGAAAACAAATTTTTTGAATTAAGATAATAAAAATATTTGACCTTAGATAATTATATTGTTTTAAAGGTGTTTAATTCAATTAAATAATATATTTATATTTCATATAAATAATTATATATATATATATATATATTAATTTAACATATTGCAAAAATGTTTTTCTAATACATTTTGTTTTCTATATTATTTTTACATTTCAATATATCAAAAGTATTCATCTTATCTCTAAAAATAAATATTATACTTAAAAAAAAAAAAATATATATATATATATATATATATATATATATATATATATATATAATGATAGTAACAATTTCCATTAAACACAAGAATACGATATCTTTCTTATAAATACTAAAGTTTTCTTGAAAAAAAAAAGTTACTTTAAAATTGAGTAAAAAAAATATCGATCTACGCATGTTATATAACAATTACTTCCACTAAAATCTGATTTCAGTTTTAAAAATTTCTAATCCTCAACACGTGTTATATACAATTGAGATTGATAATATTAATGTTGGTGTAATAAAAAAAATTATACTTATTTTTATTTGATTTTGTCTCAGGTTTTTGGATTATTATTATTATTATTGGATTGTATTATTGAGTCGTACGTAACATGTAATTGAGGCTATGCACGTTAGATTTTTATTTTTTTTAGGTTAAAGATACTTTATATATATATATATAAACTTATTGATATAATTTATAAAAATAAAATTATAATAATTTAAATTTTAAAACAGACAATATATTAAAGGAGGTAATAAATTTTATCAAATAATTAATCCTAAAAATATTATGTTATAATATCTTAATGAATTTTATAAAAAATAGTTCATATATCTCTTAATCTATTAAAAAGTGGACAAATTAGTTTTCCTAAATCAATATATTATTTTTTATTATTTATGGTGGGTCAAATTTTTAATTTTTTGGGCTTTTTTATTTGAATAATGATAATAATACTAATATTATGAATAATACATGCTTATATGAGGTCAACATTAAAGGACGACAATGACCCTAGCAGAGTGTTTGGTGGTGGTCGTTGTTTCGTCATTTTGTGTGATTATTACATTTGGTACGTCGATTGAGTGTTTCTAAGTTGTCCAGGGTCACATCCTCCCGTGATATATTGTCTTATTAAATTAAGGAATAAATGTTGTTGAAAAGAAGATAAAGAATAAAAATAAAAGAAATGATAGATAAAAAAAAGAAAGTTTTGCGTAAAATATATTTATACTAATTTTTTATGAGAAGGAATCAATATTTATTTGTTAAGAAATCATTTTACTAAAAAGGAATTAATAAATAATTTTGTATTAAAAAATTAACAAGAAGTCTACATTTTAGAATTTTTTTTGTTTGACAGAAAACAACATTTATTTGTCAAAAAATATATTTAACTTTTAAAAATTGGAATATATATATATATATATATATATATATATATTACTAATTTATTAGAAATATTTAAAACTAAATTATCTAAGCACAAAATTTGTTGGTCAGTAATACGTTAAAAATGACTAATTAGCTATAGAATATATTTGTTATTAATCCATTAAAAAAAATAGTAAATTCGTCTTAATCCATCATTATGGTTTATTCTTTTCTGTTAATTTTAAAAACACTAATGAAAAAGAAAATATTATACTAATAAAA